AGGCGACCGCGGGCGCGGCCGAAGAGAAAGGTCGTCACGCGCGACCTGAAAGGGGGGCGAGGTGAAGGGATGGAGGGGGAGAGCGCCACAGCTTTGGAAAGTAGTGGCTGAAAGCATGGCCGCCGATGGTGGGCGCGGAGGGTCCGGGGAGCAAGGAGGAGGCTGGAGCCAGTCGAGCGGAAGCAGGGGGCAGTGGTACACAAGTTAGAACGATTAATCGGATTATGGTTTCTCTGTTTTGCTGTTGTTGTCGTCGTCGTTGTTGTTGTTTGTTACCAAAGATACTTTAGATTTTTGCACAGGAGGAAACAGATAGTCATCAAATACCATTGTCATCATCAAATGGTACAGTAGGAAGAGAAAGTCACAAGCGTTTTATGATACAATAGGAATTCACTGTATTGTGAGCAGAATGGTAGATAACCAGTACAATTCAGTCAGTTTTCTTTCAAGGCGAACCAGACTGGCAACTTTATATTTTACATTCTAGAACCAGATGGGAGCTTAATTATACCACTGCGTTTCCTTAATTTTGTCTGGTTGAACCTAATGTTGAAAATTGATGATGGGGATATGAAAGGTCTAAATTTTGAAATCACAGTTCGTTCACTCGATGTCATTCACAAACGCAGGGAGATGGCTAATCAAAATAGTGCTAGATTTAAGTTGAATGCATTCATGAGCTCAATTCATAAAGAGCAGCAATTCATGATGGTTGGAAGGGCTATTAATCGGCGCGTAATGTCATGAATTATTTGACTGATTAAAAGATCAATGCTTGCTTGTTTGTATTAGAATATGAGCAAATGTTGATTAAATTAAAGGTTTACTTCAAAACGTCTTATAATTTACCACCGACAACTCAAGATACTATGATTTGATGGATTCTCTCTAAAAAGAATTCTAACTTCCAGTGTAATAGAAACCTGGGACAACAATAATTAGGTTGCAGGATCTACTTGTCTTCTTCCTATTTTAGTTCCTGAATGATACTTGAAACTTGGAATAAAAAAGGTTTAATATTCAAATCAGATTAAATTGTGTCTTTTGATTCTATTGCAAGATTCTTTAAAAATTGGATGAATTCCGCTCAGTCTCCCTATTCTTATATTCCAGCAAGTTATTTCCTCTATGAAACCAATAAATCTCTAGTAATATTATTGACTCCAGTTGCAAACAACCATAAGGCAGTGTTATAGCTCCCAAAAGACCATGTACAGAGATAAAGCCATAATTACATTATCCTTTTAATACAAATTTATACAAGATGATGTTTTAATTTAAACATGTTCGTTTCCATCATATTTTCTCATGAAATCAACATAGAAATAGTACATAAATTGGATTGAATTAGCAAGTTTGTGATGTTATCAATCGGGATCCATTCCATTTTGTTTTAAAAAGGAAGCCTGAGAACCATTGCCAGTGTGGCAAGTGCTTTTGTTTTGACTGTGCTTGTTTGTTGTCTGTCTTATTTGTTTCTTCAAATATTTAAATAGAGAGTACCAGGACAGAAATGACAGAATTTTATATAATCGTAATATTCAGGTGATGTGACGAGGTATGATACCCTCTCCATTGAGTTTCCAATCAGTGACTTTATCGTTGGGTAGGAATGAAGCAGAAGAGATTTGTTTAGTGATGTTCACGAAAGAAGAGCAGAAGTGCAAGCATCTTGAAATTCAGGGGAAAGTGAAAGAACAGTAATCCAGTGAGCATTTTACACATTTCAGTACAACATTTCAGATGAATTCTCCATTTTTTGTAGATTTTCCCCACTGCATTGGGTTACTACCTTTCCCAGTCAAAATAGTGCACTACAACAACAACAAAATTCCATTTATAGAGCGCCTTTCACGTTGGGCGCTTTTCACTAGTCTGTGATGAAGATCGTTGAAGGGCTGGATGAGTTATCTAACCTGATAAAATGTTACTGGTCTATCTATGTTGTCTCAAAAGTGACATTTTTAATGTATTGTTACTTAATAGGGATTGCAGAATGGTCATCGTGTATCTTGTTCGCATGAGATGTGAGAAAGTTTTGTGCATGCCTGTTTTTTGCCCCTGCTTGCATGCCATGTTGGTTTGACTCCCTCTGAAAAGTATTTTGAACTTTGGTAAAAGAAGTGCAGATTCCAATTATAATTCTCCTGCACCACCAGTAAACGCGATCCGGTTTATCCAGACCTTATCTCATGGAATTCTGAATTATAAAGAGTCTCCAGATTTATTTTTATCAAGTGATTGGAGTCCAGGTTTTATTTTATCGAAGGGAGACAACCATGAATTCCAGTTGTTTAGTAAAATATTAATTTAAAGCCGGTGCCAAATCAATGAGTCCTGTAGCTCAGTGGGTGGAGTCCTGTAACTCAGTGGTTAGAGCACTTGCTTTAATTTAATTATTAGTGTGAGTCAAACCGTTTTAGGAAGCAAACTACCCGAATTACGATATGATTCCAAATGTAGGTGCAGATCTCAATCCAAATGCCTTCTTCATTTGAAGGGAGAAGGTGGATAAACTCAGCAGCTACATTACACTTTATGGTTCTAATCGGATCTATACTTGGCTCTACTGGCTCTCTTTTGCAGAACGGATCGGTTTCAAAATCCTCACACTCACTTACATATCACTCAGGCACCTCCCAACCTCTTAAACTTGCTCACAACCCACTCCTCTCCCCGTGCCCTTGACTCAGCTAGAAGGAGGCCTAAACTATAAGTGTATCTTCTCAGCATGGAAGGTGAGCTTTCCAGACT